AAGATGGTTAAATCCCATCTCTACTAAAAAATACAAAAATTAGCCAGGTGCGGTGGTGGGCGCCTGTAATCCCAGCTACTTGGGAGGCTGAGGCAGGAGAATCGCTTGAACCTGGGAGGTGGAGTCTGCAGTAAGCCGAGATCACGCCACTGCGCTCTAGCCTGGGCGACAGAGCAGGACTCCATCTCAAAATAAAAAAAAAAAAAGAAGTCCTGGATACCACACTCTTCTCCCTTCCTCCTCTTCCCTCTCCTCAGAGGTCCCACTCGTGGTTTTTCATTTCCTGCCCTGCCTCCATCTCCTCTGGGTGCTGGGAAAGTGGAGGATTAGCTGAAGTTTTGCTTCTTGGGGCCTGTCTGAATCTCCGTTGCTTTCTGCGAGGACATAACTCACCTGTCCTAGCTTCTTATCATCTTACATTTCCCTGTAGCCACTGGGACATATGTGCTGTTCCTTCCTAGCTCTTGTCTCCTCATGCCTTCACTGGGGTATGGGCATGTTAGGGGGAAGGTCATTACTGTCAGAAGGGCACTGACCTTCTAATGGTGTTATCCAAGGTGAATGTTGGAGACACAGTCGCGATGCTGCCCAAGTCCCGGAGAGCCCTAACCATCCAGGAGATCGCTGCGCTGGCCAGGTCCTCCCTGCATGGTATGCAGCCCCTCCCGTGTTTCTGGCCACTTTGTCCTTTCTCCTCCGTTTTGCACAGTCCCTTTGGAACTGTTTCCTGTGAGCACATGCTGGGGTCTCCCCTTTCTTCTCTCTCTCAGGTGAATCTCAGCCCCTTCTCCCACCCAAAGGTTCACATAGATCCTAACTACTGCCACCCTTCCACCTCCCTGCCCCTGTGCTCCCTGGCCTGGTCCCTTACCAGGCTTCTCCACCCTCCCCTGTCTCCAGGTATTTCCCAGGTGGTGAAGGACCACGTGACCAAGCCTACTGCCATGGCCCAGGGCCGAGTGGCTCACCTCATTGAGTGGAAGGGCTGGAGCAAGCCGAGTGACTCGCCTGCTGCCCTGGAATCAGCCTTTTCCTCCTATTCGGACCTCAGCGAGGGCGAACAAGAGGCTCGCTTTGCAGCAGGTGGATGGCAGAAAGGGAATAAGTTACACTCTTGGCACAGGGCTGCTTTTTTTTTTTTTTGAGACGGAGTCTCACTCTGTCACCCAGGCTGGAGTGCAGTGACGCAATCTCAGCTCACTGCAACCTCTGCCACTCCAGTTCAAGAGATTCTCCTGCCTCAGCCTCCCGAGTGGCTGGGATTACAGGTACCTGCCACCGTGCCTGGCTAATTTTTGTAGCTTTAGTAGAGATGGGGTTTCACCATCTTGGCCAGGCTGGTCTTGAACTCCTGACCTTGTGATCCACCTGCCTCGGCCTCCCAAAGTGCTGGGATTACAGGTGTGAGCCACCGCACCCGGCCAGGGCTGCTTTCTTGTCTCCTCAGGTCTGACGTGGGGGTTGGAGTCTTTCCATACCCTGTTTCTCCTCTCTCCTGTCTCCAAGCTGAGCCCTAGACTTAGCTCACCTTCTCTGCTTATGCGTTCTGTCCCTGCGACAGGAGTGGCTGAGCAGTTTGCCATCGCGGAAGCCAAACTCCGAGCGTGGTCTTCTGTGGATGGCGAGGACTCCACTGATGACTCCTATGATGAGGACTTTGCTGGGGGAATGGACACAGGTGAGGGACATCCTGGGCTATTGCTGTGGTGGATCCGGCTGATAGACCTTGGGATTCATTCAGAGCCACACCCAGAACACTCAGCCTTTGGAAGGGCAGGGGAGAGGGGCAGACTCAGTCCAGGCAGGCCTGGACACTCCAGGGACAGGAAGGCTGTTCACACTCACGGGTGGGAAATGAGCAGACAGAAATGGAGTCGTTCCTTTCCCACAGGTGCTGAGGCCTCTCTGCCTGTCTGCACAGTTGTGCGTTGCAGACTTCAACAAATAAAAAAAAAAAAAAAAAAAAAAAAAAGCCAAAAGACCTCAAGGACACCTTCTGTGCAGCCACGTCTCTGGGAGGGTCTGCAATGCCTTTGCCTCTTCATCTCCAAGGCAGGCTTCTGGCTGGCTGTGGCAGGGCAGATGAGTTGCAGTGCACAGCCCAGCACCTTGCAGGGCTGCATCCCAGGTCAACAGGAAGGCATGCTGGGCCTGGAACACCCACGGGGCCGTGCTGGCTCCAATTCAGCATCCTTGCATTCCAGCCTGTGGGCCTTTCTCCGGGCCAGTGCTTGCAGCGGGGACCCTGCAGGGCTCTGCAGCTGTGTTCGGCCCTCTCATCTTTCATTCCCTAGACCACATGGCTGACTTTCTCTGTAGCTTCTGGGCTCAAGTCTCACAGGCCACCATTCCCCACAACCTCTTTGCCTTTGAAGATTACCTCTACCATCCCCTACCCCTCCAGTGAATTAATAAGTTCTCCAAGGCAGGCAATACATGAGAGCAGGTTGGAAACTGCTGCTGTGGTCTGGGGGGTTGATTTGGATGTCTGAAGCCAAGATGGAACCTTAAACCACAGGCATTTTTGTTTGATTGAGTTCCAGGCCTACTTTGACCCCTGGAGTAATGATAATAACTAACATTTATCCAAGGCTGCTACTAGCCCATGTGGAATCTTTGTGCAAATTAGAAAAAGGCACCCCTTTCTCTGGCAGGCCAGGGCATGCTGCTTGGTGAGCAGAGTATGGGTTAGATTTTGCTATCTCTCACTGCCTTGGACAGGCCCTGTTGTGTGATGAGCAACCTGTATGGCCATATGTGGTGACCCTGCATTTACTGCTTGTTTACTGTGTGCCAGACACTTTTTCTTTTTTTTTGAGATGGAGTTTCACTCTTGTTGCCCAGGCTGGAGAGCAATGGCACAATGTCAGTTCACCGCAACCTCCGCCTCCCAGGTTCAAGCAATTCTCCTGCCTCAGCCTCCCTAGTAGCTGGGATTATAGGGATGTGCCACCACGCCCAGCTGATTTTGTATTTTTAGTAGAGATGGGGTTTCTCCATGTTGGTCATGGATCCCTGAGATCCTTACCTCAGGTGATCCGCCTGCCTCAGCCTCCCAAAGTACTGGGATTGCAGGCGTGAGCCACCACACCCGACTGTGTGCCAGACTCTTGTTCTTGTATTGTTAGAATCTCCATCTCACCATTAAGGAAACTGAGGTCTCAAAAAGTTGTGACTGGTTCAAGGTTACCCAGCACCTACCTACCACCCCCAGAGCTATGCCAGGGGTGGAGTGGGGCGAATGTGGCTTCCAGGTTGGCCAATTGAAATGAAGCCAGCAGGACTATCTTCTTTTCTCTTCCCCTCACAGACATGGCTGGGCAGCTGCCCCTGGGGCCCCACCTCCAGGACCTGTTCACCGGCCACCGGTTCTCCCGGCCTGTGCGCCAGGGCTCCGTGGAGCCTGAGAGCGACTGCTCGCAGACCGTGTCCCCAGACACCCTGTGCTCTAGTCTGTGCAGCCTGGAGGACGGGTTGTTGGGCTCCCCAGCCCGGCTGGCCTCCCAGCTGCTGGGTGATGAGCTGCTTCTCGCCAAACTGCCCCCCAGCCGGGAAAGTGCCTTCCGCAGCCTGGGCCCACTGGAGACCCAGGACTCGCTCTACAACTCGCCCCTCACGGAGTCCTGCCTTTCCCCCGCTGAGGAGGAGCCAGCCCCCTGCAAGGACTGCCAGCCGCTCTGCCCACCACTAGTAGGCAGCTGGGAACGGCAGCGACAAGCCTCTGACGTGGCCTCTTCTGGGGTGGTGTCCTTAGATGAGGATGAGCCAGAGGAACAGTGACCCACATCATGCCTGGTGGTGGCATGCATCCCCTGGCTGCTGCTAGGGGCAGAGTCTCTGTGCCCAAGTGTGGGCTCAAGGCTCCCAGCAGAGCTCCACAGCCTAGAGGGCTCCTGGGAGCGCTCGCTTCTCCATTGTGTGTTTTGCATGAAAGTGTTTGGAGAGGAGGCAGGGGCTGGACTGGGGGCGCATGTCCTGCCCCCACTCCCGGGGCTTGCCGGGGGTTGCCCGGGGCCTCTGGGGCATGGCTACAGCTGTGGCAGACAGTGATGTTCATGTTCTTAAATCAAAATGCCACACACACATTTCCTCCTCAGATGATGTGAACCACTAAGGGGGTTGTGACTGGGCTGTGGGGGGGTGGGGTGGGAGGGGGCCCGGCCACCCCCTACCCTCCCCATGCCTCTCTCTTCTCTGCTTTTCTTCTCACTTCCGAGTCCACGTGCAGTGCTTGATAGAATCACTCCCACCTGGAGGGGCTGGCTCTTGCCCTCCCGGAGCCTATGGGTTGAGCCGTCCCCCAAGGCCCCCTGCCCAGCTGGGCTTGTGCTGTGCTTCATTCACCTCTCCATAGTCTCTAAATCTTCCTCTTTTTTCCTAAAGACAGAAGGTTTTTGGTCTGTTTTTTCAGTCGGAGCTTCTCTTCTCTGAGAGGCTTTGGAATGATGAAAGCATGTACCCTCCACCCTTTTCCTGGCCCCCTAATGGGGCCTGGGCCCTTTCCCAACCCCTCCTAGGATGTGTGGGCAGTGTCCTGGCGCCTCACAGCCAGCCGGGCTGCCCATTCACGCAGAGCTCTCTGAACCGGAGGTGGAAGAAAGGATGGCTCTGGTTGCCACAGAGCTGGGACTTCATGTTCTTCTAGAGAGGGCCACAAGAGGGCCACAGAGGTGGCCGGGAGTTGTCAGCTGATGCCTGCTGAGGGGCAGGAATCGTGCCAGTGAGTGACAGTCATGAGGGAGTGTCTCTCCTTGGGGAGGAAATAAGGTAGAGCCTTTCTGTCTGAATGAAAGGCCAAGGCTACAGTACAGGGGCCCCGCCCCAGCCAGGGTGTTAATGACCACGCAGTGGAGGCCTCTGGCAGATCCTGCATTCCAAGGTCACTGGACTCTAGGTTTTTGTGGTTGTGGGAAGGGTGGGTGGCTTTAGAATTAAGGGCCTTGTAGGCTTTGGCAGGTAAGAGGGCCCAAGGTAAGAACGAGAGCCAACGGGCACAAGCATTCTATATATAAGTGGCTCATTAGGTGTTTATTTTGTTCTATTTAAGAATTTGTTTTATTAAATTAATATAAAAATCTTTGTAAATCTCTATATACATCTGGTCATTGGAGGTTCCAGTTATAAACCCATCTTAGTTCTACCCCTTTCCCCTCAAAGGGGGAGCAGGGGTCAAGTGACCCTGCCAGGGCAGGGCTGATCTTCCTGCCCCTGGAAAAGTTGCTGTAGGTGGGCAGTGGGTCAGATTCCAGGTAGGATAAACTGGGAGAAGCTGGCACCCCAGGTCTGGAGGGGGCTGGGGTTCAGCTTCCGGCTGTAGCTGCCTCCTGCCTTCCCAAGGCAGAAGGAATGAGAGATGCACATTCTGGGATGACAGGCATGGCTAGCACCATCCTAGGCCACCCACGAGGGGCTCATTGGCATTTGTCATCGCTGTCGGAAGGGCTGCCCTCCCGGGGGAGGCCATGACGGGAGTGGGGCCCCCAGAGTGCGTGCACCTCAGTGGTCTCCGTGTCACTGCTGCTGGTGGCACTGTCTCGGAAGCTGGCGAGGGGCGGCCGAACTTTCACACCCTGTGCTGTGACAGAGCCCTCGATAGCCTTCCGGAGCTGGAAAGGTGAGAGGGACAGATGTCTGGACCCAGAGCTCCTGGCTCAGACTCCTCCCTACCTTCCTCCCCAGGTGAGCTGGACATAAGCTTCCATGCCTTTTTGGAAGTGGAGCAGTTTTGGAGGCCACCATCACCTCACCTCCTTTAGAGTAACGATTCCAATGAGTCTGCCAATACTGGTGACATAAGCATGGTCCACTCCCAGCAGTGAGAAGATGGTGTGAGTCTGCAGTGTGGGAAGAAAAGAGATTGGACTTGATGGACAATGGGCAGCTCTAAATGACAGGCCACAGGGGCCCAGGACAAGGTTGGTGTGGAATAGAAGGGGTGCCACAGATTGGGAGGGAAGGAGACAGGACTGCTGGAGGGAAAATAATGACAATAGTAATAATAGAATGTTTCTGTGTCCAGGCCTCAGAAACTTGATACTCAAAATCCTTATGTTGCTTATATTGACGGAGAAATAGGATGGGGGAAGAATTCTTAGTCTCATGTTAGAAAGGGGGATGCAGGACAGAACAACTCTTCACATGTGAAATCTAGTGATTGGCCAGGCTCCATGCTAGGTCTTCATTATCATTTAATTCCAGTACTGTCCTGAGAACTAAGCATTAGGAGAAGCAGCATGGGGCTCAACAGTGAAGTGACTTGTTCCGGGCAGGTCATCAGGAGTGGCTGTGCAGCCCCAGTCACTTTTTATCACACTAGAGAGGGACGCATAACCCCAGTCCTGTTTAGTAGCAGATATACCGAGAAGAGAGAGTCCACACACACCTTAAGGGCACCGGGGCCCTGAATCCTATGCGTCTCGTTCCACTGCTTCTCAGTTGCCCTCCTACCTGGCTGGCCAGGTTTGGAGTCTCCCGTGCTCTGGCATTCCAGTCTTGGCCTGAAGCATGCTATGCTCTCATATAGTCTGCCTTTTCTAGGGTCCAAGCAGTATCCCAAGTTCTGTTGAGATGCAGCTTGCAGTCCAGGAGGACAAGGGTCACCCCCATCTTCCCATGTTTTTCTTGCTTTGAGCCTTCCCCTAAGCTTTCAGATATAATCACCAGCGGTTCAGAAACTGTCAGCCAGTTCTCCTTATGCTTTCAGTAGATTTTCTTGGGGCCAGATGTCTTGAAAAATGCTCTCCTGACTCAGCAGTTCCTGGAATTTTTGGCCTATCATTTATCTCACTGTTCTGAGTTTACTTGTAAGCCTCTTGGCTTAATGTTTGAATCAAGACGAGCATAATAACAGCTTCTTGTGTACCAATTACTCAGAACTCACTTAAATTACCTTAACACTTTTAAAATGTTCTTACACATTTGAAATTCTTTAGGGAAGGATTTCCAGAACCTTCCTAAATTTCTCCACCCATGGCATGATAGTACTTAGAGGGGCAAGAAGTTCAATTTTAGAATAAGCTCTTCCGGGCGTGACAGCTCATACCTGTAATCCTAGCACTCTGGGAGGCCAAGGTGGATAGAATGTTGAGCCCAGGAGTTTGAGACTAGCCTGCAATATGTGAAACCCTGTCTCTACAAAAAGCCAGACATGGTGGTGTATGCTTGTAGTCCCAGCTACGTGGGGGGCTGAGTTGGGAGGATCACTTGAGCCCAGGAGGCAGAGGCTATAGTGAGCCATGATCATGCCACTGCACTCCAGCTTGGGTGACAAGAGTGAGACCCTGTCTTAAAAAAAAAAAAAAAAAAAAAAAGTTCTTCTGTGTTCCTTCAATACCTATAACACAGTTGTCATGTGGTTAGCGATTCCTCCTCCTATCTAACTTGAGTCCTGTGTGCTACAAGTTAGCTTTAATTTCCTTGTCTGACTTCAGAGGGAAACCTTTTTATTATAAGGTTTCCTGTGTTAATAATCCCTTAGACTTGTCTTCTTATGGTCAAATAACCCCTCTCATCTTCTCCCAAGGAGCCTATTAAATAGTTCCCTTGAATTTTCTTTTTCTCCACAATCGTAATCAGGTGAGCTTCTGGCTGGTGATATGCCTTTCAGGTTTGCAAACCACTTGCCCCTGACAGTCACCAAGCCTTACCAATCCACTTCCTGAACATCCTGGCCATTACTGACTCTAGCCTCACTAGCCTCACAAAGACTGGGGCTGCAACAGCCTGATGAGTTCTCCTTTCTGCCTCCCTTCCCTCCAGTCTGGCCCTGCTTATTCTATGCACTTTGTCAAACCTGAGTACAGCCCAGACTCCCTAGAAGGCCCATGAGACCCTTCCCAAGCCAACTCCAGCCTGTCTTTGTAGCCTCACAATCTACTGTGCACTCTAGCTTCCAGCCTCCAGCTTCACATAATCACTCTTCTTTTTCTGAAAACATTCATTTCTTTCACACTTCAGCCCTTCTCTCATTATTTTTTTAAACACTTTTTTAGTTAAAAAAAATTTTTTTGGCCGAGTGCAGTGGCTCATGCCTGGCCAGTATGGTAAAACCCTATCTCTACTAAAAATATAAAAACTTAGCTGGGCGTGGTGGCATGCTCCTGTAATCCTGGCTACTCGGGAGGCTGAGGCAGGAGAATCACTTGAACCTGGGAGGTGGAGGTTGCAGTGAGCCAAGATCACACCACTGTACTCCAGCCTGGTGACAGAGTGAGATTCTGTCTAAAAATAAATAAATAAATAAATAAATAAATAAATAAATAAATAAAATTTTTTGGTTAGAAGACAGTCTTGCTACGTTGTCCAGGTTGGACTTGAACTCCTGGGCTCATGCAGTCCTCCCACCTCAGCCTCCTCAGTAGCTGGGACTACAGGTGTGCACCACCATGCCCAGCATATGCTATCTTTTAAAATTCATCTCTCAGTATAAGTAGTAGTAGTAGTAACAGTAATTCCTAACATATATTGAGTATTTACTGTGTGTTAGGCCCTATTGTAAGTGCTTCACATGTTTCAAGTCCTGTAATTCTTAGAAAACTCAGTGAGGTGTGATCCCCATTTTACAGATTGGGAAAGTGAAGCACAGAGAGGCTAAGAAACTTACCAAGGTACACAGCAAGCCAGCATGTAGCATAGTGAGGATTTGGGTTCAGCTGGTCTGGCCCTAGCATTGGCCCCACTCTGGCCTTTACCATTGCTTCTCCGTGGGTGGCTTCTGAATGAATTAATTATTAGCTGGCACAGTGATCTCCAGTTGCACGGGTTCCTAAGTAGTCTCCAATGTTTTCTCTCTCTTATCTGAATGTTCCCCTCCTGAACTTAATTGGGTGACTACCTATTGATTCCTCAGGCCTGTAAGGACATTTTGAGTTCTAATCTTTTATGTTCTTATCACTTCTAGTTCTTTGTACTTTTGTTAGTTGGTTCCTCAAAGGCTTCTTCTCTTCCTCTGATTTTCAAGTTTGTAACAAATGTCTACTTTGTTCTTTTTCATTTGATTTAATTATACATCACGGAACCCATTGGAGGGCCCATACTTCTTGGGCTTGGGAATAGTGAACTGACACGGAGAGGGACAACATGGCCTTCTGAAAGAATCCTGGGAGCAGGGCCAGGAAATCTGGGCTCTGGGCCTGACTCTGCTGGGCTGACTCAGGCACATTACCTCCGCGCTGCATGCCTCAGTTTCCCTGTGTATTAATATGGTTAAGACCACAGGCTTTTGAGTCAGACCATTCTAGATTCCAGGCCCAGTTCTGCTAATTATTATTATTTTTTTGAGATGGAGTTTCGCTCTTGTCATCCATGCTGGAGTGCAGTGTCGTGATCTCGGCTCACTGCAACCTCCACCTCCCACGGTCAAGCAATTCTCCTGTCTCAGCCTCCCAAGTGGCTGGGATTACAGGTGCCAGCCACCACACCTGGCTAATTTTTTGTATTTTTAGTAGAGATGGAGTTTCACCATGTTGGCCAAGCTGGTCTCGAACTGCTGACCTCAAGTGATCCACCTGCCGCAGCCTCCCAAAGTGCTGGGATTACAGGTGTGAGCTACTGCACCAGTTCTGCTACTTATTAGCTGTGTGTCCTTGTGCAACTTGCTCAACCTCTCTGAATCTCAATTTTCTCATCTATGAAAACTGGAACATAATATCTAATAGTGTGGTTGTGATGATTCAACACTTGAAGAGCTTAGCACAGTGTCTGGCACATAGCAAGCATTCGAAAAATGTCAGCATGATCATCATCATGAAAGTCTGAGGAGTAAGATCATTGTGGAAAAGCCTCAGAGGTTTTGGGAAGAAAGGCTTTAGAAAAAAGCCCTCTTAGGCCTATTACCTTTTTTCTTGCAACTGCATTGCAGTTTGCCACTCATCCAAGGACTTCCACGTTCCTTTATTACCTTTTACCTTTTGTTTCTCTTTTGTCCCCTATGCTTTCTGCCTTAGTCTCCACTTGTCCATGCTATGTTGGCTCTTAGGCAAAGTTTGTGTGTAAGCTAAATGCCCAAGCTGCAGGTTTTGGGCATGTCTACCTGCTGCTTATCCCCTCCCCCAAACCCCCCAACGCTTTAAGGCTTGTACATTATGCCCGTCAAAAATTTAGCTAAACCACCCCTTGGCTTCTGCTGGGTCCCAGGAGCCACTTTACCAAGGCAGGCTGCCCTCCTTAGGAGTCCTGGAAGCAGAGAGCTCCTGGCCTCCTCTGGTGTCTGCCTCACCCACCACCAGGCAGTCTACTCAGTTCCTCGCCCTCATTTCTACAGGCTGCTTTGCAGTTCTGCTGAGCCATCTTCCTGCGTCCCCACCAGTTTTCCTTCGGCCCACATTCAGGCAGACTTTCTGGGGTCTGACATTCCAAGCCCCCCACTGGGTGTTTCACATCTTTGTTTATCTCTTCTCTGCAGTCTCCCCACCCCTACTTGGATGTTTGTTAGCTTGTTTATTGGATTTTCTTATCCTGCCTGTTTCTCACCCATTTTTTTCCGCATGGGCGTATCAACCTTGTTGGGCTGTGGTGGCCTCCTGCCTAGCTCTGACCCTGGGCTGGCCTTCTGGCTTCCACCCAGCTCAAGCCCTGTCTTTGTTGCTTCTTTGGTCCAGAGTTCCCTCGAGGGCAAGGCTGAGCAGAGGAAAAACGATGCCTGGCTCCACCACAGAGCAGGAGGAGGCTGCTCCCACCTCCCATCATCCAAGCAATATGTCTAAAAAACATCTCAGCACTGAGCCAACTCCCTTCTCCTCCCTCCTTCCCCACTGGCCTGAGTCCAAACTTGTAGGGGGACCAAGATCCCCACTGTGTCCTGAGAGCCCAGGCCAGCCCTGGGCCAGGCTGCTGGCCCTACCTTGTGCAAAGAGGTCCGCTCCACCAGCTGGAAGGGAGCAGGATCAATTTTGCAGTCACTGAAGTTGACAGGTTCATCTAGTTGTTGCTCCTCCCACTCCAGAATCTGAGGGGAAGAGACTACGAGGGTTAGGGAGAAGGTGCCTGTAGCTGACCTCACCTCCCTGAAAGCTAACTTGCCCTTTTTCCAACCCTGTGGTCCCTCCCATGGGGACAGCAGCCAACATGATGACTGAACACACCCAGAAAGAAACAGGGTCCAGAGTCCAGTGGCACCTTACCTCTTCAGGGCTCATCTCGCCTTCCAGGTCCGCGTCACTCTAGTAGAGAGGGAGGGAGGCTGGCAGCTAGGGGCTCTGGAGTTTATCCAGCCTAGACCCTGCCCTCCCTGCCCGGTGCCCCCGAGCTGCTGGAAGAGCAGGCATACTTACTGCCAGGGAGATTCGGACCCGCTTCAGCTTGCGCTTCTCACAGGATTCCAACTTCTTCAATTTTGTTAGAGCCAAATCAGAAAGATGAGGAGTTGAGGTTATAGGGAAAGGGGAGGTGAGGGGAAGTGGTAGAGCCCAGGGGGAAGGGCATGCCGCAGGACCTGAGCTGACAGCAGGGAGGGCCGAAGGGCAGGGAGAATAGAGGCAGGCACTGCAGGGTTAATGATGTGGTCTCAGCATTGGCGAGGGAGCTGGGGAAAAAGCAAGCTAGGAGGAGAGGCTCCAACCACTCACCTCTGAAGCAGCTTCAGGGGGTGGACTGCCACAGAAGAGGCTCCGGAGGGCAATGCTTGCTGACTCTGCGCTTCCTGTGTTCCCAAACATAAGGCCCCAGGGGGCAGTGTCATCTTTGGGGGAGAGGACCAGGAAAGGTAAGGAAGACAAGGGGAGAGGTATCGTAGTTCCAGCCCTGGCCCATGTGGGCAGCCTCTTCCAGCTGGGATATGCCCCAGCAACAGGGCTGGGCAGGGACTCTAATGGATCTCAGTAGCTTGGCTGAGGCTCTGTTGACACAGGAGAGATGGGCTTACCTGTGGAACTCTCTCCAAGGTTCCTGGTGACACTGGGCCCCCTCTTGAGTGCAGGCTTTAGGGGCTTGTGGGTCTCCCCCCGGGCTGCCGGGAAGCCTGAGTCTTCTGTGTTCACCTGCATGGGCAGGAAGGGGCTGGTGGGGCCATGGCCCCAGACCACCCTCCCAATCAGTCTACACAAAGACATTTAGGAAGTGTTTGTGGCTTCTCCTCTCACCTGGAAGCAGACAGAAGCCTCAGGGCTAGGGGGACCCTCCTGATCAGATGGTGGAGAGGTCTGGGTGGCTCTGCGCTCCTGCATGTGCTGCCGCCGGCGGGCTGGGCTCAGCTGGGCCCCCAGCAATGCCACCACCTGTGAACGCTCGATGGAACCCAGCAGAATCATGGACTCTGGACAGAACAGGTGGAAGGACTCAGGAGCTGAGAGGGAGCCCTCCAGCCCCGTCCTTCTCTCACACTCAAGAGTGGGGCCTTGCATTCAGGCCACACACCAGAGGGAAGCCCCCACCTGGCAAGTGCTGGCCCATTCCCTTTGGAACCAAGGAGACCAGTCCTGAGCTCCCTGCCCCTTCCCGAAGCTTCGACCCTTGGAGATGCCCTTAGCACCTGGGCCCCCTCCTGGCCTCACCGGGGGACTCCACTAGGGCCAGCATTCGGCCCTTGGTCCTGTGCAGTGCCAACCGCAGGTCCCGGAAGGTGCAGCTGAGGGCCACATGGGGAACTTCCCGCACCATGATGTCCTCCACACGCACCCGGTACTGCCTGGGGGCCAAGAGGGGCGCTTGGTTTATGGTCAGCATGGGGAGAGTTGCCCAGAGCATTACCATCCCAGGGCCACAAGGAGGGCTCCAGAGCCCATCCATGGGGATGGGGGCTAAGGGCCAAGGGGTGCTCCCACCCTTCTTTCTGAACAGCAGGGGCCAGCTACAGTCCCTCCGGGGTGTGGACGAAGGTGGCTCATCTCCCAGCTTCATAGGCTCCAGGACCTTGCTGGAGGTGGGTGTAGGGGGATCTAGGATGCCCTCTGCCCCTCACCCACAGCCCCCTTGGCACCCAGCCCTCCGTACTGGTGGCGGCCCCAGCCCAGCTCAGGCAGGTAGGGCAGTTTCTTGATTCGGATGATGCTGTCATAGAGGGAGGGCTGTAGACTCTGGGCGACAGCGTTAGCCAGGATGACGGCGATCATGACAGGCAGGATATGGGCAATCTGGCCTGTGAGCTCGAACACGATCACAGCCGTGGACACTGTGTGTGTCACCGCTCCTGCCAACGCAGCCGCCCCTGGGGACGGTCACACTCAGTCTCCTCAGGGTGCCCAGGCCCCAGAAGACTCTCCACAGCCAGGGCAGGTCCTGAGTGGGTCCCTCAGGGCTGCCCAATACAGTCCTGGGATTGGGCCTGTGCTTCTGATGGAAGCCTGCTTTCTGCCAGCAGGGGGCACCAGAGTCTCAGACCCTGTGGCTGGGGCGTGGGTGGGGGGGTCTTCCAAGGCTGATGGGACCTGAGGCACTTACCAACCACAGCGTAGCCCCCAGGCACAATCCGGTAGGTGCTGCTGTCTGTATGAATTCCATCTGGGAACCAGGCGGCCATGCTTTCGCCCACCAGACGCCCAAATGCTGCTCCTTCAGGGAGGGGGGTGGGAAGAGAAAGAGGCAGTGGAGGGGGAGGGCAGAGGGCACTAGGAAGAGAGAGGGTCAGAGGGTGAGGGAGGGGCCAGTGGGTCATTCAGTGCAGGGCACAGCCCTGCGGGGTCAGGGTTCAGGCTAGGGCTGGACCAAAAACCCGCTCTTGGGCAGAGGGATGGCCCGGGGGCGGCCAGAGGGTGGGGAAGGTGCAGGCCGGGATAGCAAGCAGCTGAGAACTCACCAATGACAAAGACAGGCATGAAGGCGCCACAGGGAACTGGGATGGTGGTGGCCAGTGCAGACATCCAGAACTGCAGGCAGGGGGTGTTTCAAAGGCGAAGAGGCTCCACCTGGCCCCAGGCAGCCCACAACTCCACCCAGGAGAAGTCTACCTCCCTGGTCAGGTAGGCATAACCCTCCCAACTACCCCAAAATCCTCCCAGCTACCCCGGAACCCCCAGGCCTCCCAGGTGATGGCAAGGGGAAGGACCCTGGAAGCAGATGGCTTGGGTTCAGATCATCGCTCTGCCCTCTAGCTGTGTGACTTTGGGCCAGCTACTTCACCTCCTTGTATTTCGATTCCCCATCTTTCAAATGGGGCTAAAAATAGTGCCTTTCCCATGTCACTGTGGAGAGGCTTCAAGCAGTGAGCACTGCATGGCAGGTGCTTAGAAGGGCAAGCTATGTAAAGGTTAGCAGTGTACACATGAGGAGCCCACCTTCATGAGAATGAAGATGACCAGGGTGAGGAAGACGTTGGCACGTGGTGGGTTCCAGGCCTGTGAGGTGCTGGGTGGTTCTAGCTCCTCCACTAGGCCCTGGTGGACCCACGTCCGATTGTCAAACAGGGTGACCAGCGTCTCTTTCTGTGAGAGCTAGAGTGAACAGGGTGCCTCAGGCTGGGGAACCAACAGGATGAAGGGAAGAGGCCATGGCATCCCATGGGGAACAAGGGGTCCCGCAGTCACACTGGGGCTGTTGGCTTTGGAGGGAATGCCTTCCAAGGGAAAGCACAAACTCCTGTTCTGCCTGTGGTTACCTGTCCAGCCATGAACTGTCCAAAGCCAGGGGGGAAGGTCAGCGTGGAGATGAGCAGCGTCACCAGAGCCGGGAAGAGCAGGCGTCTAGAGTCGTAGGTTTCACATCAGTCGTGGGTGGCCAAGGGCTGGGTGCCCTCGCATATCTCAGGGCTGAGGTCAGAGCAGAGCCTTGGCTCTTTCATGAAAACACTCAGTCCTGACAGAAGGTCTCCTCTGCTGTTTATGATATGATAGCCCCAAGGGTAATGGTGGACTGGAGTTACTCTAAGTGCAGGGGTCTGACCCGAAGACCTTTCTGTCAGCCCCTGACTCTGTAGGTGGGTAGCAGCAGCAGAAAGTCCATCCTCCAAGCCCTCCCTGGGGCCCCTCCGAGTTGTTATTCCACCCTCCGCCCTCAGAAGCCCATCTGAAGGGCATATTGTGTGGTGGGGTGGAGAAGTTTCTGCCTCTGTTTGTCTCTCTGCGGTGACTTAGAGTGAAGGTCAATGTTGGGGGAAGGTGGGGGTCACTTGTGAAGTTGACCAGAGGTGTGTAGGGAGCAGGTTCAGCTGGGTGCCCTCTCTCTGAAGGATGTCAGTCCCAAGGGAAGTCATGTCTCAGGCCTCCTCACTCCCAATTCTCAGGGTCACACTGACAGAGTTGTGTTCTGGAGATAAAAAAATCTCGGCCATGCACAGTGGCTCACGCCTGTAATCCCAGCACTTTGGGAGGCTGAGGTGGGCGGACCTGAGGTCAGGAGTTTGAGACCAGCCTGACCAACATGGCAAAACACCGTCTCTAATAAAAAATACAAAATTAGCCAGGTGTGGTGGCACATGCCTGTAATCCCAGCTACTTGGGAGGCTGAGGCAGGAGAATAGCTTGAACCCAGGAGGCGGAGGTTGCAGTGAGCCGAGATCGCACCATTGCACTCCAGCCTGGACAACAAGAGTGAAACTCCGTCTCAAAAAAAAAAAAAAAAAAAACAACCAAGAAATCTCGTCCATCCTCATGGGTCATGGGGGCAAACAGGCTCAAACACTCTCCAGGGAGCATTCCTATATGGGCCAGGCCAGCGGACCTGAGGAGGCCTTAGTCTTTGATTCCCAAATGTCCTCTGCCACTGACTATAACCTTAACAGTGCCAATTTTCAGGTAATTCATATGAACATAAAAATGCTCACTCAGCCTGGAAAATACCCTGGCTGATTTCTCAGGGGAGTGCCTGTTTTGACTGGGCCACTCTCTCGCCATCACTGTCCCCTGACCTACTGCGGCCCTTATACAACCCAAAGCAGCCTGGAGAGGAGCCGAGAGCCACTCACTTCCTCATGAGGAAGCGATTGATGGTTTTCTGCTTCCGCATCACCTGGACAATCTTCCGGTTCAGGTAGACAAAGAGGGCTCCACCGAAGCCACTAGCAATACTGGAAAGGGAAGAGGCACCCGACTGAACAGGAGTCTTCCAGAAACCCCCCCTCCTCTCCAACACCCCCAGGCCCCTTAGCTCCTCACCCAATGACAGCAAAGGCTGGCAGCTCCTGCAGGTCAAAGGGGAAGTCGAGCCGGAATCGGGTTTTGAAGAGGGCCGTAATAGTCTCTAAAGGGAAGAATAGCAGAGGGAGGCAGGCCTAGCCTCGTGGGCCCCCTACCTGGCACCATCTCGGGCTGCCCTCATCCCCTGGGTGCCCCCCACCTTCATCCCGGTTCCAGACTGCCAAGACCCGGAAGATGAAGGCACTGAAGGTGGCAGCGAAGAAGCCCCGCCAGTAGTTCCGTACCGCGAAGAAGGTGGAGGTGACCTCGATGCTGAAGAGGACGCCTGTGAGGGGGAGGGAGACCGTCACTTGAGGCCTGGGCCTGGCCTAAGGCCTCGGACCCAGAGAAGAGGGGTCAAGGAGGAGAGGCCAAGGGCAGGGTTGTGGGGCTGGACAGACCTAGGAGCCCTGCCTACCTCCAATAGGTGCCGCAAAGCAGCAGCCCACCCCCACGGCACAGGCGGCAGCCAGCATCTCTGTGTTCCGGGATTCATTCTGGCGAGAGTGGTGGCAAGAGGGGGTCAGCCGTGGGCTCAGCAGCCTCTGCCCCCCACTTCCCTCAGGGTTCCCCTTACCTCATAGATACCCCCAAAGAGGGAGAGGAACTTGCTGAGAAGGGCAGCACACATGCTTGCGATATGCACAAAAGGGCCCTGCGGGGTGGGGCAGGCCGTGAGTCGGGAGGGGGCCCACCCTGACCTTGGCCTGGCCTCCTCTTCCACCAGGAGGGACTCCTTGATTCCCCAACCTGCAGTTACCTCTTTGCCAAGCGGCATTCCACTGCCCAGGGCGCAGGTCAGCCCAATGACCTTAGCTATAAAGGTCTTGAGTGTGAGGTATTCTTTCAGCACCACTCCCCGCAAGATGGTCTTCATCTCAGGGATGCCAGAGCCTGGAGAGGGAACAGTCTCAGGAGAGGCATTTGGTGTGCCTATTTCAGGGGTCCCACCTCTGCCCTCCCCTTCTCTTCTAACATACCGACAGCCTGAGGGGCCAGGATCTGTGTGAATCCGGCTGAGAAAGTGATGAGGACAACAGGGTAGGTGACCCAGGCCAGGTACTGGAGTAAGATGCTAGTGTTCAAACCCCGGGACATCCACTGCTGGGCTGTGGGAAGATGACCTGCTGGACCCCCAGTGCACAGACCCACTACCTGCCTGGCCAGTGGACCACGCTGATATGACAGGCTGTCCCAAGGAATACCACATGTCAGGGCATGGGGGAAGGAAAGGGTCCCTGAGGGCATTCACTGGGACAAAGCCCAACCTAGGCAAGAGGGTCACTTGGAGAGGGGACACAAGAAGCTGTACCCTATGGGAGTGGCTGAGAAGATGCCTGAATCTGGGCAGTCAGACTGGCTGGGGAAAGTGGTCAGTGGCCAAGAAGCCAAGATGCCTTCCTCCACGTCTAGATGAGTGTGGCATGGACGCAGGAGGTTTCTTCCCAGTCCTCCCCCTGCCAGCTGTCGCCCTCACCTTGCAGACAGGCAGCAATGGCATAGTCCATGGCCCAGCTGACCAATGCCATGAGGAGCCCCAGCAGGACCAGGAAGATCCAATCTTCACCAACCCTGGATACTAGGAACTTGTGGCAGCGGACAGAACAGACTGGATGCAGGGAAGGGAAGAAGGGGGAGGCTGGCACCAAAGTGCTCCTACCCCTTTTACGGCCCCCTCAACTGCCCCCTCTCCCCCATCAGCAGCTCTAATGGCCTCTGCTCCCCTCAGCATAGCACAGCCAGGTCCCTTGCCCCCAACCCAGTTCTCACTGCGGCATTGGGCACAACGGCTCCGTCCATATTCCAAGAGCTCTGGGGCAGCCCGAGGGGAAGGGGGACCTTTCCAGGGTTCAGGCCCTCCCAGGCGAATCCGAGCAGCTTCCTCTTTGGCAAAGGCCCCAAGGTCCTGAGTGTACCGGCCATACATCTGGAGCAACAGGAGGGATGGGGGCATTTGAGGTCATGGGCTGAGTGGGAATGCAGGGAGGGTTCTTAGAGCCTCCACTCCCCTTCTCCCAGCCCCCACATTGGATATCCCTCTTGAACGCACAGTTCCCACTCTGGCCCAAGGTGTGGGAACAATGCACATTGCAGACTGTGGGGGCTGTCCTGGCCAGAGTGATGGGGACAGCCAAGGTACAGGGACACAGCTCTGGGGGTGGCAGAATAATCGGTCCTCTTCTCACAGGCCTGGGGCTGGGGCACTGAGGAGGAGTGAGAGGGAAGCCCCAGAAGAGGAAAAGATGGAAAAAACACTTTTAAGTGGGAGGTGGGAAGGTCAGGGAGTAAGGGATGATCAAGGGCACATGGGCAACAATGAGAGCCTCATGGAGCTCGGGGCAGCTGAGTTGGGCCCAGGAGCAGGCGCAGCCCCAATCCTTATCACGTTCCTGCTGGGCCTCTGGCCTGTGACCAACTCAGCTGCACCCCTCCCACCCACCCTAATCCCCTTGTCCCCATTCTCCACTGCCACCCCCACCAGCCTGCCAGCCCAGCTGGGAGTGGAAAGCCTCTTGCCTAGGGTGGAGAGGGCTTGGTGACCTCAGCCCCACTATGGAGCTGCACTGAGCCCAGTGGTGGGTTGGGGGACAGCGGAGGCTGAGGATGGCTGGGCTGTGACTGTGGATGCTGGGGTGATGGGACCGGAGAGTCGCCTGAACCATGGCTAGACCTGCCAAGCTGGGCGTGTGTTGGGGGGCGGGGAGGAGTAGATTCCGGCTGCCACCCGCAGAGCTTCGGGACACAAAGGGCTCCTGTTGGGGCTGGGATTGGAGGGGGGGGGGAAGGGAGGGAAAGATAGAGACAGAGAGAGGGTGAGAGATAGAGAGTGAGGAAAAGGAAAGCAAAGAGAAGAGAAGAGAAGAGAGAACTAGAGAGGAGAAAGGAAAAGAAAAAAGAGAGGCAAGGTGAAGGGACAGAGAAGAGAAAGAACGGGATGAGAGAGGAAGAAGTCGGGAGGAGGAAGAGAACTGAGAGTATTAAGAGGCAAGCACGGTGTAGGAGGAGGGAGGCGAGAGTGGGAGAGAAAGACAAAGGGACAGGATGGGGAAGGGGGGCGGGGGCAGGCTGGAGCACCGAGTGCCGGGGACAGAGCTCGACCCTGAGAGCTCATTCCAGAGACAGCTGGAAGGGACGGAGATGGAGAGGTGGTGGCTGGTGTTAGGAGGCACCATTTCAGAGGCCAGGTGCCTGGCTTCCTTGACCATGCTCCTATCCTGGTCTGGGCCGATTGACAAGTGTCTCCTACCCCATCCCAAGGGTTGGCCCCTTTACCCTTGCTCTATTCCCACCTCTCCCTGTCATCCTGATTCATCCAGCTACTTTCTCCTAACTGGGCACCTCCCAGACTTAGTTACAGCCTCTCCTCCCCAAGACGTTCCCTCACTGCCACCTTCCTGGGCAAATTTCAGCCCAAGCTGGTAAAAAGGAACCAGGGGCCCCTTCCTTTCCTTAGGGCTTGGGTCTTCCACCCCAGTGACATGAGGAGGGTCACGTGGCTTCTCAAACACCAAGTAACAATGGGGGTGATAAGTCGGCTCAGAGCCCAGGACCCCTGCTTCTAATGAGGTCAGGGGACACACCCAGCGGTGGGTGGGGGCTGGATACCCCACATCAGCATGGACAAAGGTTCCAATTCCCACACCCATTCCTGCTTCACCCACCCTCCCTAATGCTCCTGTCCCCTAGAGTGGCAAGCCACCTTTTTCCAGAGTCAACTGAGGGGCTCCTAGAGCCAACGCTGGGTGTGGAGCCCCCAGAGGTAGGGTCTGGGGCGGACCATCTTTCTACACACTAGATTCTATGCTTAGCATGGTGCCATGCACATGGCAGGGACACAGAGAATGTCTTGGGTGGTGGAAACTTCAATGGTGTGAATGGTGCCGCGGAAGGGGCAGTGGGGTGCTAAGACTTGGGCCCAAGTGGTGAAGGGGAGGAGCAAAGAAAACGTGCATGTTGAGGGGGTGAGGGGAAGGACACCTGGGCCAAGTACCTGGTGTCCTTGTCCTCTGCAGGCCCTCAGCCTCAGCCAGAAACCAGCATGCAGCTTCCATCCCTTCGGCCCTGCAGCCTCAAACTTTCAAGCCTCAGTTTCCCCAGCTCAAAAGGCTGGGACAGGATTAGGGTAGGCCCCTGGTCCTCGCGCTTCCCAGGGTAACCTGGAGCGGCGGTCCCGGAGCGCACTACTCGGGCTCAGCTCATCTTCACTTACCAGGGTCTGCTCGTACTGCAGCGCCCGCGGCTCCATCCCTTCCTCCGCCGCCGCGGCCGCCATCTCCGCGCACTGCCCTCTCGCCTCCCTCAGCGGCTCCGGCTCTGTCCTGGACTCGGCTCCCGGCCCGCAGAGTCAGCGCAGGTAGCCGTCCCGTCCCCGCAGCTCGGGAGGCCGAGAGCAGAGTGCGGCGGGCCCCCGGCGGGCGCCGCTGGCGCAGCCTCCCGCTCGCGTCCCCTCCTCGGCGGGCGGGCCGAGGGCGGTGCCCTCTGCGCTGCTCCGCCCGCCGGCCCATCCGGAGGGGACGGCCCAGCCAGGCTGGGGTCCGTGCGGGGCCTCCCGAGAGGCGGCAAAGGGCGCTGGGAAGGCGTAAGCCCGCGCCGGCTCTCTGCAGAGGCCCGGGTCGGAGAGGGGCGCTCGGGAGGGGCGGGTCTACTGGCACGTGGAGGGGCCCACCCGGGTTCGCAGTTCCCAGTGCCCAGGCAGGAGGGGCTGCAGACGCCTGAACTCCGTAGGGGTTGGGGCTGGGAGCTGCGGAGCTGTCTACATCGGATTCCTCCGGGTCAGCCCGTTAGGAGCCGCCTCCCCTCTGCCCCTCCGAAGGGACGAGCGGCCCAGACAGGCCCAGGAAGGCCCCTCTGCCCCGTCAGGGGTGAAAAGCAAAGCTGGGAGAATTCGGAGGGAATTGGAGCCGTCTTCCTCATCCTTCCTTTTCTCGGGGCTCCCCTGGGGAGGTGCACTTGGAGCAACCCGGCCTACGGGGTGTGCAGGGGTGGAGGTTGGGGAGGGCACCAGAAGGGGTAGGCCGGAGGGAAGGGAGCTCCAGGTGCCGGGAAGTCCACTTCTGGGACGCGGGCGTGGGTCGCTTCTCCCTGGTTGGGCCCAAGGAGGAACCAGAGTCGCTGCTTCCATCTCTCCGCTTTGGGGGAACCGCCTGCTGGTGCTCTGGGTTCTCTATCAGGGGCTGGTGAAGGATAGAACAGATGGCAGAGCGCGCGCAGGGTGGATGGGCAGCATAGAGATAGTGTGAGAGGAGCGAGGGCAGCGCCCAGGAAACGCACAAGTGTGCGGGACAGCCAGCACCAGGAGGAAGGGGCATTTGGGAGGCAGAGGAGGGCCTCAGGGGGCGGGGGCAGTGCCCGGGAAGGGGGAGCCTTGTGATAGAAGCCAGCACCCAGGAGGAAGGGCCAGTGTGAGGGAAGAGCTGGTGTCCAAGGGACAGGGCAGTGCCAGGCTGAAGGGGCACGGAGGGGATCCGTGTCCAGGAGAAGGCAGTGGAGGACTAAGTTGGAGGGGTAATGCCCGGGGGAGGCGGGTGGCGGGAGCCAGGCTGAGGGGGCGGTGAGGGGGAAGACAGCAGGGCCTGGGGGAAGCGGGCAGTGGTGGGAGGGTGCAGTACGAGGGGAGGGGACAATACAGGCTTTCCTCTTCTCCATAGCGACATCATGGCAAATTCCCAAATTGGACGGATCCGGCTCGGGTTACATCCAGCAGGGCCGAGCCGGCCCAGGCAGGCCCCGGGGTGCGCGGTGTCGGCTGGAGGGGCTGGGCACCTCTGGGGCGGGGTTCTGCTCCACCTGCCCTCGGCGCGGACTGTGCCCTAGGCGGGCACGCAGACCGGCGGGGTAGGGCTAGGGCCCGGCTTCTCTGGGCCAAGGATCAAGGTCCCTGCCTGGGTTAGGCCCCCACGCATTCCAATCTTCGCGACCCGGCCTCTGAAGAGGGCGCGGCAGAGCCCCAGCTGAGCGCTAGAACCCGCTCTACAGCCGCGGGAGGTTGGACCTATTGTTTCCCCGCCCTGGGCGGGGCCACCTGGACGTGAGACCCGCCCTCAACGCCGAAGCCTCTCGGGAGCAATCTTTTGGGGCGGAAGTTAAGTAGCCCCGAGCGGGAGTCTGTGGCGGAAGTGGTCGCGTTACCGCTTGTTTGTGCGCATGCGCCACTCCTGTCTGGCTGCCGCGCACGGAAGAGCTGCTTTTGCTCTTCTCCCCTCTTCTGCACGAGAGGGGGTGCGCGTACTCCCAGCTGTGGTCGCCCGCTCACCCCTTCTGCTGCTCTCGTGGCCCCCTCGCGATGGCGGGCATCCTGTTTGAAGATATTTTCGATGTGAAGGATATTGACCCGGAGGGCAAGAAGTTTGACCGAGGTAAGTAAAGTACGTAGGGGCGATTTGGAGGAAGAGGCTAACCTCGCGGACATGCCCCTGGACCCCGTGTCCACCCAGCTCTTGTGGCCTGCCCCTACTAGCAGGTCCTGATGTAGGGACCTCCCTCAGGAAACATTTTATGGATGAGAAAAGGGAGACTCCCGAGCTTTCTCTGGCTTCACGCATGCCGTGCCCGGTGCCTGGGTGGCCTTTTGTCATGGTGCTGGCAAACTCCTGGGCATCTTTATAATCGCTACCTGCTCTGTGCTAGACACTGTCTTGTGAGACCAGCCTGGCCAACATGGTGAAACCCCGTCTCTACCAAAAATACAAAAATTACAGGAGGGCGCCTGTAATCCCAGCTACTTGGGAGGCTGAGGCAGGAGAATTGCCTGAACCTGGGAGGCGGAGGTTGCAGTAAGCCAAGATTGCGCCACTGCACTCCAGCCTGGCAACAGAGCGAGACTCCTCAAGAAGATGAGAGTCCTCATGAGGTGGGTGGTGCCTTCCCCATTTTTTTCTGAGAGAGTAATCCACCCAAGGCTTCACAGCGAGTAATCTGACTTCAGAGCCTATATTCTTGTATTGCCCTAATAATCCTTAGCGCTTTAAGTCTTCTCTGAGTTAGAGTTAGCTGCTTGGTATATCCTTTTTTTTTTTTTTTTTGAGACAGAGCCTCGAGCCCAGGCTGGAGTGTAGTGGCACGATCTTGACTCACCACAACCTCCGTCTCCCGGGTTCAAGCGATTCTCTGCCTCAGCCTCCCAAGTAGCTGGGATTACAGACATGCTCCACCACGCCTGGCTAATTTTGTATTTTTAGTAGAGACGGGGTTTCACCACTTTGGCCAGGCTGGTCTTGAACTCCTGACCTCAAGTGATCCACCTGCCTCGGCCTCCCAAAATGTTGGGATTACAGGCGTGAGCCACTCCACTGGCCTACACCTCTTTATTTTGTCATCTATCAATAATTTTCTCTTTGATGTCTCTTTCTTTGCCTGGAGACTCAGATGTTTTCAAGACGGATACCAGTTCTTATACATCTTGATAACTCCCCTCAGCACAGTGCCTGTCATAGAAAGAGGAAACCTTTGGATGATTGAATAACTTGCCCAGAGTCAGGTTCTCAGTCATCCAGGCAGGCCTAGAACCGGGTATTATTTGCTGCTGAAGTATCTTTGGTTGTTTTCTGGGGATTACGTTCACTTGCCACAGGTTTTCTCCCCTTTTCCTTCTTGCATGTCTGGTTCTGATGGAGCCTGCATTTCTATGAGAGCAGATGAGAGACCAGTGGTTGTAGACTGGGTTAGATTGAGTATTCTGTTGCATACAATCCCACACTGTAGGATCTGCCTTGGGCCTGGCAATACCTCTGTCACTCTTTTCCTGCTTCTCCCCAGTGTCTCGACTGCATTGTGAGAGTGAATCTTTCAAGATGGATCTAATCTTAGATGTAAACATTCAAATTTACCCTGTAGACTTGGGTAAGTATTGAACACAGACAATAATAAGAGGCATTTTGCCGCTTCCGCTATTCTTCACTCTCTGATATTGCTGTTATTTTCAGGTGACAAGTTCCGGTTGGTCATAGCTAGTACCTTGTATGAAGATGGTACCCTGGATGATGGTGAATACAACCCCACTGATGATAGGCCTTCCAGGTGAGGGAGTGGAGAAGGTAATACTTGGAATATGCCTTGAGAACTAAGTAGATAAGTGATATAGAAAGACTCTTCTTTAATTCCTGGAATAAATGATGATCAGCAGAATCTGAGTAACCTTAAGGAAATTTCTGCACTTAAGAATTCAAACAGGCCAGACACCGTGGCTCACACCTGTAATCTAAGCACTTTGGGAGGCCGAGCAGGAGGATTGCTTGGGTACAGGAGTTCAAGACCAGCCTGAGCAACATAGCGAAACCTCACTGCTACAAAAATAAGAAAAAAAGAAAAAAAAAAAAAAAAGACTGCGCATGTTGTCATATGCCTGTAGTTCCAGCTACCTGGGAGGCTGAAGTGGGAGGATTGCCTGAGCCCAGGAGGTTGAGGCTGCAGTGAGCCATGATTGCACCACTGCAATCCGGCCTGGGTGACAGAGTGAGACCCTGTCTCAAAAAAAAAAAAGAAAAAAATTCCAACAACCAGGTATTTATCTATAACAGTGATTACATGCTTGTGAGTTGTAGCCTTTTGAAGGCTGAGGAGGTGACTGCTGAGTGACCTAGGCTATGTGGGTCTTGTGTCTTGGGAGGGAGCTTGGTGTGATGGAAAGACTTTGGCACCCCACTTGAGTTCATTTCTCAGCTCTATCACTTATTTGTTGAGTAACCTTAATCTCCTTCAGCCTGTTTCCCCATCAGTAGAATAGAGATGATCATGATCATGCCTAGCTCACGGGGTTGCTGCGAGGACTGAATGACATCATGTTTGTTTGTAATGTGCCTTTTTTTTTTTTTTTTTTTAAGACGGAGTCTTGTTATGTCGCCCAGACTGGAGTGCAGTGGCTCAATCTCGGCTCACTACAAGCTCCGCTTCCTGGGTTCACGCCAGTCCCGAGTAGCTGGGACTACAGGCGCCCGCCACCACGCCCGGCTAATTTTTTAATATTTTTAGTAGAGATGGGGTTTCACTGTGTTAGCCAGGATGGTCTCAATTTCCTGACCTCGTGATCTGCCCGCCTCAGCCTCCCAAAGTGCTGGGATTACAGGCTTGATACACCGCGCCCAGCCGACCAGTAACCATTTTTAAATGGGATTTTTTATATTGTTAATTACTGTTAAGAATAACTTTGCTGCTGTTGCTCCACAGGGCTGACCAATTTGAGTATGTAATGTATGGAAAAGTGTACAGGATTGAGGGAGACGAAACTTCTACTGAAGCAGCAACACGCCTGTAAGTTACATAATCTTATGAGGTTCTTTTCCCTCTCCGTGTTCTGAGACTTTGAGCTATGCTCCTGCTTCCTCTGTTGGGTCCCTCTCCTCAGGCACCTCAGACCTAGGTAGGAACTAGAAAGAAATGGTTCTGAGAGCAGTTTCCAGTCTGAAAGCTAGACTGCTCTTTGTCAGGCCCTCCTGGCCCAGCAGTCCAGATGAGAAACTGGTTATCTTACTGTGTAAAGTGCAAAGGAGACTTGCTTCTCCAGAAACAAATGCAGCATTAAGTGATTATCCTATTAGGCTGTGTGTGTGTGTGTGTGTGTGTGTGTGTGTTTTGCTACTCTGTAACCCAATCCCTAGTTCCTTGGTTTTCCTGTCCAGCTATTTTTTCTTTTCTTTAAAATCTTATTAAAATAATATGTGCTTTTTGTAAGCAATTTGAAATGCAGAAGAGTAATGTGAAGAAGGAAAAAAAAAAAGTCACCTGTAATTCCATACCCAGAGATAACCTTTTACATAGACTTTTTTGCATATCCTGGTGTTCTGTTTTTTCCTTTGAGACTGTGGTGTTTATTATGTTTTCTTCTGCTCTTTTTGCTTAACATTATGTAAAATATGTTTCCCCATGTTAGTGTGAAGCTTTTCTTAAATGTTTTAATAGTTGCATAACATTTCAGTAAGTGGATACATCTTGATTCATTTGACCATTCCCCTGATTTGGGGCATATAGGTGTTTTCCACCTTCGCTAATATAAAGAACAGTGTCTTGCACATATCTGTACATTGATCTTTGTCGGAATTTTGGTTCCTAGTGACAAAACAGTAGAAAGATGCCTCTTCTTTTTCTTAGGCTGAGATGGAGAGCTGCTGAGTAGCAGTGCTCCAGACTCATGGGATGGGGCCTTCTGTTTCAGCTCTGCCTATGTGTCCTATGGGGGCCTGCTCATGAGGCTGCAGGGGGATGCCAACAACCTGCATGGATTCGAGGTGGATTCCAGAGTTTATCTCCTGATGAAGAAGCTAGCCTTCTGAACCTCACCGGAAGCCAGCCTTGCTGCCTAGTCACTCAGGTCATCGGCATTGTTCAAGCTGAGTGGCAGCCAGTCTTGCTCACCTGTTGAGGAGGGGCTGGCTCACTGTCCACTGTGGTGGCATCTTTAACTGGCCTGCACTCAAAGGGAAACTGACTCGCCTGTGAAAGACAGTGGGAAAGCTGCAAATGAATCAGAAGCTTTGTGTATATGATTTTTAAATTAAACTTTACTTTTTCAGACTGCCCCTCCCCTTTTTGTAAAAAGTTCATTTACTGTAAAATCATTTTTTGCAATTTGTCTGTGGTGTACTGTTTCTGGCCCACAGCCAGCTGATCACTTGTCAATGTAGGATCTATTCCAGCCTTTTGGTATCTGGGTTCAGGGTTATCTCAGTCTCCTGGCTGACTGTTCTCAACATTTATCCTCCAATGCGGTTTTCGGTTTGGGAGAGAGTGTTGTACTTTTGGCTCTTGAGGGTACCCCAGGCCCAGAAGATACCACCCATTTGGCGCAGAATTTTGAATTGGCAAGGAGCCCTGCTCGAGTCCTTCCAGCACTTTCAGGCTCTTAGGAAGTCAGTTCACGCTGACTTGAATGAGTCACTTGCATAGTCTAGAAATGTTCATTATTTTTATGGAAGATGTGCGCAGAGGCTTTTAGCCTTTTAGGCATGGGAGATGACTATGAAGAGAGTAGGAGGAGAGGACTTGGTGGTTCTGGAAGCAGCTGGAGGAGCTGGCTCTCTACTCTACATTCCAGTGGGAGGGAGGGAGGGAGGGTAAGTGGAAGTGGACAGGGCAGCAATACCAATGAAGCTGGCGGGCCAGAGCCAGGACAATGTGGCGGCCTGACTACAGTCACTAACTTATGAGTAGGGGAATAAAAACATTAAGGAAATGGTTCTGATGATAAGGACTCCAGCATGTGAGCTGGCTCTTCAGCCTGGCAGTAGGGGTCTCTAGGAAAGCATATGGGGTTCTGTTTTCCCCTAGGAAGTTTAGGGTAATAATCCAAAGAGATTCTCTGTGTATTAAACAGTTGTCTGTTTGATCTGGTTTTGCCTGGGAGCTGGTCCCCCTGCTGGGATACCTGGGGTATTTCCTTCCCCATCATTTTCAGGTCTTTACGTGAGGTGTTAGAAATCGTATTTAGGGAACTGGGTTGAAAATGAATGGCCTCAGCAGGGAGGAGGAAGAGGTGTTTCTTTTACCTTACTATGGAGTAGGGGGAGTAGATGTACTGGGGGTTGGGATGAATTTTTATGAAATCTTAGAACCTTTCCATGGAGTGGGTTTTTTTGTGGGGTTGGAGAATGACAAATGAGAGTGAGATGAACGAATTACCAGTAATAGTTTGTAGGTTATCATAGATGGTCCTGGGGTAGGAGAAGAAAGAACTAGTATAGCGTTGAATAGGGATAGTGTTCTGGTTGTAATTGTTTTTTTGTGTTAGTGGGAAGAAAGGATGGGACCAACGAGACTGATTTGGGAATGGATTAGATTTGTAATAGGGCAGGTAAGTTTGTACTGGAGAAGTCCATGAGTTATTTGCATTTGCCCACAAGTGGAGTAAGTCAAATGCCAATACCAGATGCCTGGTGACATTTGCAGTTTTGCCATTCTTTTTTTTTTTGAGACAGAGTTTCACTCTTGCTGCCCAGGCTGGAGTGCAATGGCGTGATCTTGGCTCACTGCAACCTCCGCCTCCCGGGTTCAAGCGATTCTCCTGCCTTAGCCTCCCAAATAGCTGGAATTACAGGCATGCGCCACCATGCCCAGCTAATTTTGTATTTTTAGTAGAGACGGGGTTTCTCCATGTTGGGCAGTCCGGTCTTGAACTCCCAACCTCAGGTGATGCACCACCATGCCCAGCTAATTTTGTATTTTTTAGTAGAGATGGGGTTTCTCCGTGTTGCAGGCTGGTCTCGAACTCCTGACCTCAGGTGATCTGCCTGACTCGGCCTCCGAAAGTGCTGGGATTACAGGTGTGAGCCACCACACCTGGCCCCGCAGTTTTGCCATTCTTGTCTCTCATCTGTCTGTGCTGGGAACCCATCATTCTCTGGTCCCACTGGTATATCGTATCCTAGGTGCTGGCACTTTCATGTGCTACAAAGTGTTTCGTTTGATTATTAAATTTAACCTAGCTCAGTATGTCAGTAAGTTAGTTTCCACTTAACATTCCCTTGATTGCATGCTGGAATTTGTAGTGTGAATGAACTACTTCCCTTCCATGCAGAAACTGACAGCATTTGAGATTTGGACATTTTTGAGCTTTGTGCATTTGTTGATTCCTTCTGTAGGAAAACTATTCTGTCCATGAAGGGAGAGAGGGACATGGCGAGATATCTAAATTGGTCACCTCCACCAAGAACTTTAGTTTTCTACTCAGAACTCTTTTTTTTTTTTTTTTTTTGATGGAGTTTCACTCTGTTGCCCAGGCTGGAGTGCAGTGGCACGATCTTGGCTCACTGCAACCTCTGTCTCCCAAGTGCAAGACTACAGGCGTCTGCCACCATACTCGGCTAATTTGTCATATTTTTAGTAGAGACAGGGTTTCACCATGTTAGCCAGGATGGTCTTGATCTCCTGACCTCATGATCTGCCCGCCTTGGCCTCCCACAGTGCTGGGATTACAGGCGTGAGCCACCGCGCCTGGCCTCAGAACTCTAATTGTTACTCCTTAAGGATTTGTATGTCTTTCCCAGTAAATAGAATCATTAAATGACATATAGGACTGTGTACCACACTGAGGAGAGTATGGACCCTAGAATGAGGTTGGACTAGGGTGTTTCTTCTGCCCATAGGGTGTGTAACCACTGATAACTCACCTGGCTTCTCTGAGCCTCAGTTTCCTCATCTCTAAAATAGAAAAGATAATACCTGCCTTACAGAGTTGTGTGAATGTTACAAAAGGTGAGGTACGCAAAGTTCCTAGCGCATTGCCTTACATTCTACTGCTTTGGAATGCCTTTGGTGACCCTGCGGTATTTGTGGCAGTGTTTGGGTTACTGGGTTCCTGGCTCCTCTACCTCCATGGTAGCCTTTCCTTCCTCAGGGGTGAGGGAGAGCAAAAAGCTTCCACTAGTTTTCCTACAGGAACCTCTGGCAGTAGCAGGTTGACTTTTGCAATGGAATCATAAACCTCCTTTTCCTGAGCACCAAGGCAGCACTTATTTGCAAAAACCCATAAGCCTGACTCCTTTTTAGAGATCCCCTAGCAGAGTTTATGGTGGTCACACAGGGCTGCTTTTTAGATGCATTTGTGGGAACTGGGAAATGAGCCTTCGACTTGTACTTGACTTGTACTTGTTTTCCTGCTGTGTGAGCTCAAGGAGCCTGACTCATGCCACTTCCTGCACTTCCCCCTGACCTCCACAGGAGGGAGGCAGGCGTCCATGCCTGGCAAAGCCTCCTGCTGAGCTGCCAAAGCTCTAGCTGTTTGCTCAGCTGTCACATCCAGGTCCTGTCTTTACTGAACTGTCTACACAGCTTTACCTGGGGTGTGAGGCTCTCCAAGGCTTCCTGTTAGCTTTTTTTGTTGGGGGTGGCAGCGTGAGGGGGATCTATTGCCACTCTCGAAGAACACGTTTCCCTTGTTTTTCAGGGAGCTTTTGGGTGCTCTCATTTATTCCTTATACAAGCTCAGTTTTGTCTATTGTATAGGGACAGCGTCTCTGAGAGGCAGCTTATTCATTTCTCAAGAGGAAAGATCTGTTAAGAATGTGGGATCAGAGTCCCACTGAGAATGATAGTAAAGGGGATGGGGGCGTTGGAAGGCCTTGAACTTGAAGCAAAGGAAATTACCCTTTTTCTGTTTTCTGATGCAAGACCTTTTCTGATGCAAGGTCTCTCCCTCTGTTCAAATGCCAGGCCAGCCCAGGCCTTTGCAGAATTGTCATAGAAAAAGAGCACATAGAGAACCAGTGAGCTGCAAGTTTCTGCAGAAAATAGACCAAAGATCTAGCTGCTCTGATGAATATTGTTGATAGCTTAAAAAAATAGCTTCTGAAGGCTTATAATGTACAGTGAAAAGTGATTCCCTTTTCAGTCCTGTGTATCCCTTTTACCAGGGCTTTGGGTTTCAGGAGAAAGTAGGAAATCTTGTCCAGTTGTCTCCCAGGGGCTCCCTGCAGGGAAGGGAGCTATACATGAGACAATGCTGATGTCGGCAGTGTCTGAGAACCTTACCCTTCCTGAGACAGATTCTGGGAGTGGGTGTGGGATGTGTTTAGAAGAGGGCTGGTAGGGGTGGGTGTTGGAACAGAAGGGTCAGGAAGCAGGGGGTGGAGCTGGACCACAGGGGAGGGCAAGGTGGGTGGAAGAGGGAAGAGTGTGTACTGTCCAGTAGGGGGATGGGTTGGGGAAGGAGAATATCCAGGCTGGAGGTTGGGTGGCAGGGAGCCTGTGTCTGATGTTCCTGGGGAAATGTCCGGGGCTCCTAGGGTCCTGCGTGAGGGTCCAGGAAAGAGTCCACGAGTTCCATTCAAGAGTTCGTGTATCCTGTTCAGGTATCCGGGGATTTGGTCCAGGGACCTGGAGGTTTGGTTCAGCAGACCAGGAATCTTGGCTCTGAATCCCTGCTTCTGAAGTCCAGAGCCAGTAGTTCTGGCCGAGGCAGTGAAGTTTGTCTCCAACAATCCAGAAGTCCTGTTTGGGAGCTCGTTCAGTGTGAGGACTAGAGAGGTTCTGCTGGGGACAGCTGTGGTGGGTGGGGCCCGCCTGAGGCAGAGGGTGGGCCCTCCTACAAGCAGCAGGAAACGCACCTTTCCTCGGAGCAGGTGTTGGAAGCTCAGGAAGATGGCATTGGGATCCTTGTGAGCTGTGGTCCTGCCCTGTGGAGGAAGCTGAGGGCAGAGGACGGTCCTGAGGCCAAAGACCAGGGCCAGATCTCAGGCCTCCCTTGTCTAAGTAGGAAAAATAGGATACCAGCACCCAGGCATTGTGGCTGGCAGGGAGCACTCTTAGGAGATCAACTCTTCTGCCCTTGAGCTCCCTGGAAGACCCCTTCTTCCCTCAGGTCTTCTAGGGGGACTGAGTCAGAAAAGAACAGTTTCTACAGATCCCTTGACTGGGGACCTACCTGGGTTCCAAGGAGGCTCTGCAGGGCCCCAAGGAGGAGACGGACCTGTCCAGAAAGCTGCCCCAGGAGGGATGAGAGGCAAGTGGGTCCCAGTTGTCCCCGTGCTGCCATCACTCCCTCCAGCAGAAGGGTCACTGCTCCCAGAATGTCCTGTGCCTTGGTCTCCTCCTGAGAAAGAGATGGAAGACAGAAGTGCACTGCCTCAAAGGGCACACTAATAGCGGGTGGGGAACCTGTAGGAGTAGCCAGCAGAGTGAATCATACAGGCTGAGAATTGGACAGGACCAAGGTCCCACCCAGGGCAGGAATTCCTTCCCAGTATCCCGACAGCTGGTCATCAGCCTCTGCTTCAAAAACTCCAGGGTCCGCTAGTCCAGCCTGGTCTTAAACTTGGTTTCAGTGAGAAGAGCTCCTTTTTTTCTTACGTTGCTGAAATCTGCCCTGTTATAGCTTTTACCTCTTGGTTCTAGTGCTGCAAATTTACTCTTTCTGCTGCAAAACCTTAGGATCATTTGATTTTTAAACCGAATGAAGGCCGGGTGCAGTGGCTCACGCCTGTAATCCCAGCACTTTGGGAGGCTGAGGCAGGTGGATCACCTGAGGTCAGGAGTTCAAGACCAGCCTGGCCAACATGGTGAAACCTCATCTCTACTAAAAATACAAAAATTAGCTGGGCATGGTGGTGGGCAGCTGTAATCCCAGCTACGTGGGAGACTGAGGCAGGAGAATCGCTTGAATCAGGGAGGCTGAGGTTGCAGTGAGTTGAGATCGTGCCACTGCATTCCAGCCTGGGGGATAGAGTGAGACTCCGTCTCAAATAATAAATAATAATAAATAAATAAACTAAATATAGATATGAGACTCTATCATAATGATCATAAGGATGAAAAGAAAGGACTAGAAGGGACCCATAGGAACTGCCCTTCTTCCCTGACTCAGTACTGAGGGAAGAAGGGATGCTAGGGCTCTTGAGGATAGATTTTAGTTTTTTAAATTATTGCTCATAAAACATGCTTCTGGTCTCTTACTGTTCAGGCTGCTGCTTTCTGGACACGTGTTAGTTTAATATGGTCTCTCTTAACAAATTAGCATACGTCTTCAGGGGGATGTCCAATGTTCAGGCCAGTATATTTAAGTGTAGTCCACTCAGAATAGAGTTCTCTAGGAGCATTTCCAAAATGGGGATGCTAAACATTGAACAGAAAAGAATTACTAGCTTTAAGAATAGCTGCTTCAGTAATGTTACATGGCAAGTTTGGGGGCAATTTAATTCTTTCAGATCCTTTTCATAGGAAGTGCTAGGGCCAGAGGCTTAAATGATGGAAGCAGGGCATTGTGGCCTGAAAGCTGGCATAGGACTTTACTCATTAATTTACACATGTAGAACTTTTTTCTTTTTCTTTTTTTCTTTTTGAGATGGAGTTTTGCTCTTGTCGCCCAGGCTGGAATGCATTGGCATGATCTCGGCTCACTGCAACCTCTGCCTCCCAGATTCAAGTGACTCTCCTGCCTCAGCCTCCTGAGTAGCTGGGATTACAGGCATGTACCACCATGCCCAGCTAATTTTGTATTTTTAGTAGAGACGGGGTTTCGCCATGTAGGCCAGGCTGCTCTCAAACTCCTGACCTCAGCTGATCCACTCGCCTCGGCCTCCCAAAGTGCTGGGATTACAGGCGTGAGCTCCTGGCCCACATGTAGAACTTTTTATCTCTGTTATTTCACCTTGTTTTTGACCTAGTCTTTCAGTGATTTGAATCTTGATTCGGTCTTTTGTTATTTTAGTGGTACTTCCCAGCTTTGTGTCATCTGTGGATGACATACGAGTCTTACTTCTTCATGCCAATTTAAGAAGATTGAGTGGGAATAGGTCAAAGGCATGGCCATGAGTGATTTCTCTCCAGCTTTTCATGGTGTTCAGCTTCAAATCTATTCACATATTGGACCTGCAAGCCATCATCTTATCCACAGGCTATCATTATAGGTGAATGTAGATTGGGTTAGGGTGGCCAAGCTGAAGGTGAGATATTTTTAAAAAGCTCAAGAATGTTGGAGAATCCATGGGAAGCAGTAGGCAACTGAAGACAGGACTTAGGGAAGCCAAGGTTAGGAACGGCTTTCTTACCATCTGGGTTTTCCATTCTCCCAAGCTAAAGTCCACAGCAGGCAGCAGGACAGGTGTGGGTAAAGGGTTAACCTCTGGGCACAGGCTCTGTTGAAAAAGATTGTTGTGGGGAGAAGGGAGCTGAAATAGAGAGGGCTATGGTAGCCTAGTGAGAAGGGTAGTCCTCCATGAGTACTACGTCTAGACGAGAGCTTTTAAATGATGGCTATATTGCAAAGATTAATCCTTGTCAGGGAGTGTGATCAGTAGGTGGTGATAATATGGGAAGAATAGTCATTGGCTCAAGGAGTTAGAGGAAGTGGTGTCTTCCCGGGAGTATGGGTCTCTTACCAGTTAACGCGGATAAAGGGGATAATGTTGGGAGTTCTCACCAGTCTGCTGTGAAGGACACGGGAGTCACGAAGCAGTTTACTGAGGACTCGGGGGTCACAGGCAGGAGGAGCCGGGCTGGACAGAGTTAGCCTTGCAGTTAGGAGAAGCATGACCACGAGGAGCAATTCTTAGATGAGGAGAGGTGAGGTTGAAAGATAAGGAGGAAATCATGTCAGCTGGTATTCCAGGAATTCCCATTCAGGACCCAGACCCGAAATCTAGGGAATCCACCCCTCAGACCCCTTATTTTTGAGAGAATGGGTTCCCCCAGCTCCCTGCCCCTGCAGTGTGTCTCCTTTCTCTCTCCCTTTCTGTCATGTTTCCATCTGGCCCTAGCCCCTCAAGAGTGTTCTCACCAGTCAGCTCCATTCTGGCCGGGGTGTCTGGCTGGCGTGGCTCCCTGTTTGGGGCCTCTCCCCTGAATCCTTCCTGGGGCCATGGAGGCGGCTTGGGCTCTTGCACTTCTGGGCAGAGTAGGGTGGGTCAAAGGCGGGCCAAGGATGAGGAATCTATCCTGAAAGTGGCAAGAAGAGTGAACATTTAACCGAGTTTCTAGGAAGAGACTGCCTGGCAGGGTGAACAGATGCTGGGGAGGGCTTGAGATGCTGACCAGCCTGGAACTGCCAAAGGCCTGACTTCTCTCACATTTTCTTGTGATGAAAGCATATGGTGTGCCGGGTGCAGTGGCTCACGCCTGTAATCCCAGCACTTTGGGAGTCCAAGGTCAGGAGTTCGCGACCAGCCTGACTAACATGGTGAAACCCCGTCTCTACTAAATACAAAAAAATTAGCAGGGCATGGTGGCATATGCCTGTAATCCGAGCTACTTGGGAGGCTGAGACAGGAGAATCGCTTGTACCTAGGGGGTGGAGGTTGCCGTGAGCTGAGATCCTGCCATTGCACTCCAGCCTGGGCAATAAAAGCGAAACTCCGTCTCAAAAAAAAAAAAAAAAAAGGAAAAGAAAAAAGAAAGCATATGGTGTCTCCTTTTTGTCAGGCCTCCTCCGTGAATCTGACATGGATTTGTTGCCGCCTACCCCTGCTGAGAACAGCAGGACATGGTATGTATACATACATATCTTAATTGGCCTTAAATTCTGAGCAACCTTGGTTGTTAGGTCAGAGAAAATCTGGGATGGGGATAGAGAAGGAAAGTATTGTGGCTTCAGCCTGGAGAAGAGAGTGGAAAATGGGATGCAGGGCCCGGGTGAGGAATTGGCAAACATGCACAATATGTTGACGGGTAACTTTTGCAGTGGGGAGTGGGGCTGGGGTGGGAAACTGCACAAAGCTGTAACTGGGACCACTTAGAGGTCAGGATTAAGGGGCAGTATGGGAAAAATTAACCTCTATTCTTTCCCTATGTACCCCCACACATAAAAACCTCTGGAGCTTTTCTTTGGACTCCAAGTCCTGAAATACTCCATTATCTGAGGTCAAGAGATGGGCTAACAGTCCTGGGACTTCCTTCCTGAGACCAGCTACCCAGGAAGGGGCACCTGCTGGGTGATGCCCACCTTAGGCGCTTACTTTGCCTTGGTCGCCCACTAACATATCTGTCTCATAGCTCACACCTGCCTCCCTGCCCCCTTGGCAGAACCCCTTCCGGTTCCTTCACAGGACCCCCCACATGGCTTCCTCCTCCTTTCACAAGTTGTGCAAAGAGGCTTGCACCTGATTCAATATTGGGATTTCCTGTAGGTCTGTCAACATGCATGGGCCCTCCTCCCATTACCCTCTCCTTGTGCCCTGGCTTGCCTAGCCCAGCTTCCCTAGCGCCAGATTCAGAACCTTAAGCTAACAAGGAATGACCAGCTAAGAATGGGGATTGGGGATGTGCCCATCTTAGTACTGTGTTCGCTAAGCCCGAAGTGCAACTCCCTCTCTTATTTTCTCCCTGGGCTCATGTCCCCTTTCCTTAGGGCCAGTCAGGGCTGTGCTGTATTCCACCAAGTAAGTGATCAGTCCCTCAGAAACCAGCACCCCACCCCCTACCCCTGCTCTGCCCTGCTCCTCCCATTCTGGGAAGGCTACACTCTTCTCGACAAAGGTCAGTGCCTGTAGGTTCCAGTTTTCCTGCCCCTCCCCCAGCTGGGAGACCATTTCTCTTTGCTGTCCTTTATACCCTCACATAACCCCACACCCTGCTGGCCACTCACCGGGTGGAGAAGGGCTCCAGGACCCAAGTGCACAGCAGGCAGCCCTCTGGGGAGCAGATGGGTAGGAAGACATGTGGCAGTGGGGCACAGCCCCTCCACAGCAGGTCACACGCCTGCCTGGGCCACTTCTGCCCAATCAGAGGAGGGAACCACCAGACACTGGCGAAGGCCCCCGGAAGTGACGCCTTCTCTTCCCTGGAGCCCCTGCCTGGACCAGGGTCCACTCCTCCACCCACACACACCATGGAGAAGACTTGGATAGGGGGATTCATCTTTTCCTGGACATGGGCAACCTGGGACCTGGAGGGGGACAGGAGCAGAGGTTTTTTTCCAGGAGGAATCTGGCAGGACATTTGTGTCACTGGGGAAGAAGCCCAGAAGTCTTGTTTTAGATTGGTGAGGTTTTCACTTCCTGGTTATCCAAATTTCTTTTCCCTGGACATCACACCTGCTGCTGAAATCCAACAGGACACTTGCTTTCCTGTTTTTCTTTCTATAACCCCCTAGGGGGTCTTGTCTTGTTATACCCCTTTTTGAAGTGGGAATACGGATATTGCCCACATGAGAGAAATCTCCTGTTATGGGCTGGTGTTATGGGGAAAGGGTTTAGACTGGTTGAGAGGACTGTCAGGTGTGGGGCGCATATATGTGCGCAGGCATGAACCGGGTTATGCCTGGGCTTAGGTGCTGGTCTGCTGGGGTCTAGTGACTTGGAGGGCTACACACACAGCTCTCTGTGCATGGGGCCCTCCTTTGCTTGTTCTGTCTCCCTCTTCCATCTCCTACCGTTCCACATGTGACAAGAGGAATAACCAGGCCCATGTGTCCCTGTCTTAGGAAAGACAGCTGCTGGACCTCCCCCGCAAATACCTCCCTGCTGGCCCCCCTTTTCCTTTGGCCCTGGCTCTAGCTCCTTTGCTTTCTTCCTAGTCCCAGTCTCCCCACAGTCTCTGTCCTCAGGGGCGTCCCAGCCTGACCTTGTTCCCATCATCCCCCTGTCCCCTAGAACTTCCTCAGACTCTCTCCTGTTCCTCCTCCCCAAGGATGGGCATGTCTGCTGAGAAGTGTGGCCTAGATTCTGGAATTTTCCCGACCAGCCAGACGAGATGTCTCCCAAGATTAGGAAGGAGGGTGCTGGGATAGCTGGGAGGATAGTGGGTGCGTGTGGGTGGGAGAGACAGGGAGGCAGGCATGACCACTGGAACTAAGAGAAAGGAGGCTGGGAGTGGGTTGGAGAGGCAGAGGGTCCCTTGGGTGAAGGAAGGGGGTGAGGAAGCAAGAGGGGATGGTCGAATGGGCCTGAGGATAAGTTACAATGAGAGAGAGACACTGTCATTCCACAGAAAGGGGAATGCTGCCGCTTTCTGGCTAGGTCCGTGTCCTGGGTAACACAAGAATGAGAAGCGACCTCAGAGAGGAGGTAGGGAGGCAGGCTAGGCAGTGAGAGAGGGTGGTGAGGGTTTGAGGGGCGCTGTGGGCCAGGCAGGGGGAGATCGGCTGATGGGCCTTTCCTGTACGTTGTCATCTTTTAAGACAAGTCTTCATCCTTCGGGCGGAACCGGGTCCTGCTCACTGAGCGGTCCAGGCCTCAGGCCTAGCCTCTGCCCCTCCCTGGCCTGAGGCTCCCCTCCTGGGCTGGACACCGACCTCCTGGTCCAGCCGCCCTGTGGCCGCCAGCAGCGGGGGGCTCCG